CAGAGAACGAAAATCCATCAGGTCGACGAGAACTCCAGTACTAAAGTTGTACTACCAGAGAAACGAAAATCCATCAGGTCGCCGAGCAACTGATGGACATGCCCAACAAAATCCCCGCAAACACCACGCAGACGCAGCTTTGATACGCCTTTTGGCTATGCGATACGCCTTAGGGCAACCACCTAGTATCACGGTTGGATCGCTTGTATCAAAAGCCTGGCAACATCAGGTACTGGTAGATGAGGGCCGCTTTTCGTTATCAAAGTTGATGTCAAATGCCTTGGCCCTGGATCGCCCACCGGCGGATGCAATAAACTGAAAATGCACTGCTTGGTTTACGATTCACTCATGCCACATGTGGCTTGTCTCGCTAAGCTGCTGAGCATGCTCCATGGCAACATCTCATGAAGAACAAACTGACATGCAAGCAACACACAGCTGGGTTGCCAGCGTGAATTCCAAGCTGGTCGCTTCGGCTCTGCCTGAGTGACAGATCACGAAAAACATGAGCACGCCAAGCCGGACATGCTGCAAAATTTCCAAACATGATTCTGCCTCGTTCTCTGGGAGCCGCTTTTGCCTTGACAAATTCAAAACGGACACAAAGCTGATAAGAATCCATGTCCGCCATCATGCTCTCAAGAAAAGCTGCCGAAACTGTTCGTCGCTCTTGGCGCCAGCTGGCATAATTGATATCCTAAGCAGACAACCCCCTCAGAGTTGTTCTACTTTGACATGCAGGAGTGTGGGCCCATGCAGAGCCATCTGAACTTGATGGTCAATCTCCATGCTCCCTCTTATGGTGTCTGTTCATCACCTACAGTAGGACTCTTCGGTCTTGCAGGCGGCTGGTAGCAAGTCCATGGTCCTGCCGCGTGCTGAAAAACTGATGGCAGCTGTTCAGCAGCGATTTGCTCGGAAAAGACCTACGCCCTGGACATGCTCGTAAGCTGTCAGGCGAATTCTTAAGAAGCAGTATGAGCATGCTGCTGGAACACTGAAAGCTAAGCGGGCAGCCGGAGGATCTTGCGACATTTCTCTGTGGTCAGCCTTTACCTCGGCATGCGTTCTAACTGCGTGCAGCTACATTCATTTTTGTTACCATTCTGAAGCCCTTCCGAAGCAGCCTGCTATCCAGGACCTTACAGCAACCAGGCGGCAGGCTTCAGATCGGAAACTGGCCGAAGTGCACCCAGCCAGCGCTGCCCATCGGAGGAACTGCTTGTCGGGGCGGGTGCAGAGGGAGCGGAGGGCCCGGAAGGCACAGAGGCTGCAGAGGGAGCGGGAGCTGTCTCCGCCGGTTTGAGACGATCAAAGGTGCGGATGAGTGAGCCGGCCCATGGCCCAAACATGGAAGACTCCGTCCTTGCTTTCGGAGGCAGCTGAGTACTTGCTTCAGCTGGCTTCCGAGATGGCTCCAGAGCAACCTCTTTGCTGAGTGGCGGGGCCTTAGCGGCCTTGGCTGCATTCAGCTGTAGCCGCGGAATCTCACATGTCTCCTGCTCACCTTTGGAGGAGACCGAGGTTGGCGAAGCTGCAATTTCCTGTTCAACATACTCACTCCTTTCCACCAACGGCTTCGGAACAACCAAGTCTGCGCCACCCAAAGTGGACGCTTTGGAAGCATTGCGAGCGCGAACGCCTGGCAGGCTTGGAGAGTGTGGAACTGCGTCATCTCCGGAAGTTCTTTGGACAGAGCGATGCAACGGCTTGATAACCCCTTGGAGGCTATTCGAAATGGCAAGCTTGTCCAGTGCTTCCTCTAGCTGCTGCTGTAGCTTCCGAACACGACCTTTCTCCAAAAGAACGAGGCTAGCAAAGTAAAGGCTGCGCTGGTTTGCGCGTCGCAAGGCAGCGGTTCTTCGCTCCAGCTCTGTCTCTGTGTCCTCCACATCCAGCACGTGATGCAACCACTCCTCCTCTGCAACACTTGGGTCCTTGCCGTTGGAACTGGCAACTCCGCTTCCCTCACTTGGAGGCCTTTCGCTTGCTTTTGGGGTCGCTGTTTTCAGGGTGTGCAGCGTGTCCTGGCTGCTTCGTCGGCATAAGGCCTGCTGAAGCACAGGCGTATTCTGCATTTCGCTCATGATGGCTTCGGCCCCCTGGCCCTCCCACACAACAAACCTCTTTTCTTGATTTTCCATGCTGGAGAATTGATGTAGCTCTGGCCACCCTCGCTTGATCTCGGGCCAAAGCACCATCAAGGCATCATGCAGCTCTTCGACAAAGAATTCATTCACAATTGGCTGCTTCTCGCGATTCGCAATGTTGCGCATGTAGTGCGTGTCCCAACGTGTAATAGGCATTCTCAGCAGGGAAACTTGCTTCTGCGGCTGCTTCTGCACCGTCGCGGGGCTTTCGTCTTCAGGATCATCGGTCTCTTTGGGCGGGTTGGGCCACAGCCTCCTGCATCTCTCACTGACGGCCGCGTACATGAAATAAATTTTTGCCCTGGCAGCACCCCAAAGCAAAGCCATGCATGGCACGCTAATCTCCACGTGTCGTTGAAGCCAGTCGATCTGCAGTCGCCTTGTTCTCTGGCAGATAAGCACTGCCTCGCGGAGAGCCACAGAAACCAAGCCAGGCGTTGCCTGCCCAGAGTAGTTCATGTAGCATTCCAAGGTACTCTGAAGCGCCACGGTAAGAAACCGCTTCTCCCTGTCAGTTAGCTCGCTTACGTCAAGGCTGTTATCTTTGGCACAGAAACGAAGCATGTTTCCCGAACCGACGCAGCTGCGATAGAAAGCCAATAGCATTTCCTGCCACCACTGCAGCTTCATGCCAGCAAGCACTTTCAAGCGCAGTGGCCGCACCACCATGTCGCTCACCAGTGCTCGTACCGCATAAAACCAGAAAACAAGGTGGCTTGCGATCACTATGGCAATGACACATGTCCTAAAAACCACGCTGGACAGCAGCGCAGCGATCAATGATGAGGAATTGCCACCCTCCACTTGCGTTTCTTCAAATAGAGACACGCCAAGGAGAGTGACAACCAGGCACCAAAGGTTCAGCAGCTCCAGTTTGTCCAGAACTTTGTACTCTCGGTTGTCAAACGGGTCTAGGCGCAAGTGCTGAATGAAGAAGTACATGCCGAGGCAAAGCATGATGGTTGATCGCAGTGTCTGCTGGGGAAGGCTAGCTGCAAACAGAATCGAGAATTTCCGCAGCATGTAGATGCATTCATAATGGTACGAGCGCCATTGAAAACCGTTGTACAGAAAGCCCAGTTTTCGTCGAGTCGAGGGCATCATGAGCTTGTGCTTCCGTCTGTATAGTAGAAGGAAAAAGACTGCTGGAATCCCGAGGCCGTAAAGCAACAGGCCGGAAAGACACATTCCAAAGACCTGCGCGTGTTCCACACCTCAGGTCACAGAAAACCAGTGAAAGGAGTTTAGCAAAGTCCAGGCGAGGCCGCGACTGAAACACTCCACGTCCATGTTTACCATCAGCCGAAGCGTGTCATACTCTTCACACATGGTGCCCTGCGTTTGCTGAGGCAGCTGAAACGTTATTCATGCCCACCAATAAAAAAAAAAAACAACAACAACAACAATCATCGAAGAAAGTCAAATTTTCCAGGCCTTCAGCAAGGCCTGAATGATGGTAGGGTACAGGACGAAAGCCCATACGACCTCAATTGACATGAGAGGCACCTGGTGATGCCTTTAGTTCTGGCATAATTATATACTACAACTGGCTGCAACACCAGGTCTGCGCTCGGCCTCATGCTGACCAAACTGTCTGTGACCCCACAGGCCAGACAGCAGCAAAACGAAAGCTTAGCGTCCCGAGCCCCTTCCTCTACACCCTGCTCGATGCATGCGAGCAGACGAGGGCCAGCAGTTGGCGATGGCAGAGCTAAACTTGACGAAGCCCCAACAAGCCCGCACAGGCGCAACATCGCAGACTTGCCGCCCCAAAACGCCTACTTCAGCAGCATCACGCACCCCCCGTGTCCCTCAGGCGCTGCAAAACATTAGTGCTATGCTGTGGGAAGGCATTTGAAGCCAAGACGCCGCTTTAGACCTGCAGGGACCAGGATCTAGCTGCATTACGGGCCCCTCGTTTCTGTTGCTGGGACCCAAAATTACCTCAAAAAGGGGCCACGGTGAGGCCCTGACACTCTGGCACCAAGATGGGATCTGTTGTTGGGCTATCCTGACCCCCATCACCCAGCCTCACAGAGTTTGGACTACGTCCACGAAGCTCACAGGGAGCTTTCGTGATCTTTGCTACGGACGGCCTCACTCATGACAGACTCATGGCCACTGCTTTGGCACATGAGACACGGCAGATCTGTCGTGACTCAGCAATGCCAAACATGCACAAAAGTATGGCACGACCGTGCCTCTGCACATGCAATTCAGCCACCGTGATTGCGGCATTAAGTTCTGAAAACTGTAAGTCAAGAGTTGCAGATGGCAGCAGCTCGAACAAAGCCAGGAAGCTGAAGATTGCACAACTGCCAATTTGAACTCCTTCCACTGCTTGATCCTTAGCTTGCGGTGTGATATTATGTGGTTGGGCTGTTTGTGAGATCTTGTTGGTGTCTCTAGCGTGTCTCTTGTGGCAGCAAAAACAAACAGTCAAGAAAGCACACTTGCGCTTTTCTGTGGCATGTTTTGCATCCGGGCCTCTTAATAATTAAAGCATCTAAACATGGACACCCATGCGAGGTAGCAAGGTAGGTGGGGCCCGGACTCATCTTCGGTGTGAGCGCGACTTGCAAGGGCAACGCTTGCTACGCCCGCGCTGGCCTGTCAGCTAGGCGTTGCAGGGAGCGTGCGCTGCAAACCACACGTTGTTTTTTCCAAGAGGGCCAGCTACATTCAGCATAAATGATCTAGAAGCAGAACCGTCACCACAATCTGGCTTGCATTGGAACCTGAAACGGCCCGCACCTCTGAAGCTGCGAGGCTCGAGTGGGAGGAGTGAAGGGAAAACTTCCTTGTGACAAGCTCGTCTTCAGAGAGATGTCTGGTCAGGGATGTCCAATTCCAGCTGTGGTCATCAAACTGGCGGAGTTGTTCTACGATCTGCCTGTCCCTCTTGATGCGGCAAATGAGTATAACGTTCCTTGGTCGAGGACTAAGCATCAGACTGGCAAGTCAGGAAGGCCTCGAAACAAAGCCTCTAATATTTGTCAAGTATCCGCATCATGCAGAACAGCATGTTGCAAGCAAGCGCTGCAGGCAGCATCAGGAGTGCGAGATACATCTGAGCACGAAAGACATGCCAACCCGAGCTCTGAAGCAAGCAGTCATAGCTGAGCAGAATGGGGCCTGACGTCAATATGCGAGACATTATCTCCTTCTTGTCATGAAAATTTTTCAAACGTGGACAAAACTCACACTTAGCTTCACAGCCTTCATCAGCAGGAGCGGCTGATGGGAACGACTTTGTGAATTCTTTCCACATTTGGTCCCAAAATCCAGTAGACTGCAGCGTGACCTGGCGCAAGTGAAACTGACCGGAAATGGGAATTAACCGGAAACCACGTGCTTTTCGAACTGCAACACGGCCTGGGCAAATACGAGGTAGTTGATGACGATCTTTAGGATGATTGATTGTAGATGCCGAACAGAGAGTGCTGAGGAGATCGTGGCTTTGAACACGATCGCAATGTAGGCGGCGCATGCGAAAATCAGCAGGATGACCAATGACACATTCGTCTCGGTGGAAGGGCACTCCTGGCAGCGACCTGCGCAGATCAAGCACTCAGCCTCTTGAGGACAAGGCAGCGTCAAGCTTAGCTTGTAATCTTGGCTGTGAAAGCCGTTCAATGGATTGTCCCAGAACGCGCCCCTATCCTGGCACAACACCCCACTATTCCACCAAAGAGCAGGCAAAGAGCAGGCATGCTTAACTCATCTTAGTTCGACCCCTCTGTGAGAGCAAGGCCAGGGGACCCTTTCCAGCTCCGAAGACAATCGAGCGTTGATTTGTAAAGCCAGGCTCGCACTGCTCACACAGAGTCCCTGTGTTGCTTCCCGAACATCTGTTCGCACCCAGGCAGATGGAGGCAGGCTCCGGGCCACGGCACTTTTGGAAGTTCCACGGCATGAGGTCGCCACCTGACCTGGAGCAATCTCCGAGTGCTTTCTGCATCTCTCCCTTCACAAATGCACGCACGACCAAAGGTTTAAAAGAGTTTCAAAACTAGGATCAAGGCACTGAAGGGGCATACGATAAAACCCAGCTGCTGCTTCTGGTAGTGCTGTGCCCAACTCTGTGCAATTGGCCCCCACTGGGCAAGGCCGACAGTGTGCCTGTCCCGGCAATGCAGCGTAGGTGCCCCGCTCGCAGAGGTGGCACGTTGTAGTGGCCGAATGGCGATAGCCTCAACTGCAAAGAAGGCTTTTCAACCATGTGCTACCCCTAAAAAACAATGCAGGCAATCTTGTGTTTGGCGTCCAAATGCAACAAAATAACGGCCGGGAGCACAGGGTATGCACTCCTGAATGCGCAGGAAGTGGCCCTCCTCACAGGGATACACCATGAGGCGTTTTTGCTCCCAACTGGGCATCTCTTCCATGTCGTGACCACCTGTCAGGATGCTGTATCTCAGTACACTTGTCTGAGTGATCTACCCACGACTTTATGGGTTTGATTGGTGTACGGTGCCTTTGCCCAGGACCACGACTTGATTGGAGTTATAGCGGTTCAGGGGTGGCTCCGAGGCGGCGAGGGGCTTCATCTGCACTGTCCGCGACACCAAAGCATCCTTGCCGACCAAGGGTCAGGTTGGATTTCAAAACTCCATACTTTTTCAGGATTAGTTTTCAGCGGGCCTATCGCCGCAAAATCTTTCTGAAGTAGTATCATGCAGCATCATCCATCATGCCATTTGCGCTGAAGGCCAGCCGGCCGTAGAAAGTGCTCAGGAATCCACTCTGTAAAATTTCCTGCCGCAGTGTGGAGGGACTGTAAGTTTCACTTTGGCTTATGGCATTGACCAGCAGTATTCCAGCTGCAGCTGCAGCTGCACTCTGATATGGCGGCGGCCGACCGTACGTGAACGAATACGTGCTGGAGAAGTGGGAGCCATTTTCAAATATTGGACAGGGACGGCTGCAAACGTCATCTCCCAGCTCAGGCACCCACAGAGCAGGCCCGGCAATAAAGTTTGCATTTCGAGCCTCCACAGCATCGACTAGATCTGGATGCGAAGCTTGCGTTAGGATCAAAGCTTTTGGATTGAGATCCAGTGCCATGGAAGCAACTACGACCATCGAAGCATCTGCTACGTAGCCGCAACCAACTAGCAGGTCCGGCTGCAAAGTCTTGATTTTCTGGACAGTCAACGTGATGTCATTGGAGGACCACGTGAAATTGCCCATGACGTTAATGCCCATAGAACGTGCTTCAGCAGCACCACCAGCGCATACAGATCTGGGAAACTCTCCATCTGCATTCGCAAACACGGCAGAGGTGATCGGCAGGGCCTTACTTGTGTCTGGGATGTCTTACCGACTGCGATCGATTCTCACAACCTTGCATGGCTGTCGACCCGCTTGGCCAGCTTGTTTTTGTTCATGCTTCATGAAAATGGGAAAAATTGCAGGTACATCGTCATAGATAAGCATGCTTTTTGCTGTTGCAGTCAGCCATGTTGCATGTCCCATCTGGTGGCTAGCTTAAACCATTGAGGGATGAATACTGAGTCCTGTAGCACGCTTCTGCTAAGCAGCCTGGATCCTTCGCATGGCGTCAACCATGTAGCTATCAGCCGATGGCAATAAGCCTCGGGAAATCTGCCGGGCATGAAGTAGCTCTGCAAAGCAAGATTCTTTCTGAGCCCTTCACCAACGATGTGAGGGAAGCCGCGTTGAAAAATTGTAGGAGAGGCGGCCCCAGGCAACAGAAGCAATAAGTCTGACGAGGCAGTGGCTTCAGCTGCAACTTCTGAAAGCTCTGTTGAGAAGGGACCAATCAAGGCGTCGGGTCCTCAGCCAGGTGGGTGACTGATGACAATCCTGCTGAACTGCTCCTATCTGCATCGGAGGCACGTTCGAGGCCCTGTCTGGAGACAAAGTCTTTGTAGATACGATCCACTTCGCCAGCATCACTTCGGTCATCAACGAACCACAGTCTGATCAGCAAACGCTCTCTCCAGAATCCACGGGCAGAGGATGTCGGCTCATTTACCTGTGCCGCCCAAAGCTCAAGACCTCTACGGAGCTCGCGGGAGAGGACCGCATGACGGCCCTCACACGATACAGATGCTGCCACCAGCACTACTCGCTGGCAATGCGCCAAAGAATCACAGAAAAACTTCTGCGAGCAGTTGGGGCCGCCACATGTCACATTACTTACACCACCAGGATCCGGGTCTCCGCAGATATCTGCCCCAGCAAATGCCACGAAAGCCAATACCAGCCGCCATGGCATCAGCATGTAGCAGATCAGCAATGGATGACAGCTCTCAAGCCGTTTTTGTCTAAGATTAATGTCAACTATCCATGCTTCAGACACGGTAACCCTCCACGCGAACCAACTAAGACGCTACCATCATTGTCTCTCTATAGCTGCACAAGCTGCTGAGAACAGTCAAACCTCAAATCTGAATTACACAAATGCAAGGCACTCGCTTCTGGACTTAGTTCCGATCGACCCCAGCGCTTGCTGCGACTGCCTCAGCCCAACATCACGAGAGTCATGCAACAAGAAAAAAGGAGCTAAGAGCTGGATGCTTTGGCAAGCTTGGCCCAAAGCTCTAGCAGGGTTGCCTCCATAAAAGAAAACACAGGAAATGAAAAACGCTCCGTGTTCTCATGCGTTCACCGCCTGAGTCACATAATTCCTCTGCAGATGGGGAGATTAGCAGCGAGTCCTTTGGCCACGTGCTTGGCAACACCGCATTGTGATCCCAAATACAGCCGCACTCAAACTGATGCCAGCTAAGTTTGCGAAAGCCTGCCTGCGAGTCCTCGGAAGTGCTGTGAACCGCAACTGCCTGCTCACTGCAATGAGTCTCACATGAACTACCCTGCCAAGAAAAATACGGCTGTTCGATTTGAGCGCCCTTGCTTCCAGATCCAACGAGTGTACCGCAAGCATGCATCGAATCAAAAAGATGGTTCAAGGAAGGTCTCAACTTGTCCCTGCAGAAGGCGGCACCCAGACTTGCTGCCTCTGGTGGTGGGCCCAGCGCAGCCAGGAGGGACGTATCTCTAGAGCCCTCCTTTTCAAAGTACATTCACCCTGCGATCGTGCATCTGCAAGTGCATACACAGATATGTGTACACCGTGCGCACGTACACGTTTTTTTTTTCACTTGAATACAGCTTCTGCTCACACACATGCTGCAATAGGTGTGGTTGCATCCGGTCATAGCGCCAAGCACATTTGGTTCGCAAAGTTGCAAGTATGCTGATTGCACTCAGGCTGTTGCCTGCCACGATGATTTGAGCTGAGGTGTTGGTAGTTTAGTTACTGGCAAAGAATCCAGATCATGACTGGCACGGCTTTCCTCACGCGCAAAAAATATCACAACTCGTCCTGCAGCCAAGACGAGACTCGTTGGCGGAAGCTCGATAGCACCTGGATGGACCAAATCTGACCAAATGCAGGTTCTGAAGGCACAAGTCGCGGGCGGGCCTCAATGCTCATGTGGATCAACTGCTCCAATCGACTGTCCTTCTTGGCATCTGCTAAATGCCATTCATCCAGCTCTGCCGTGACCTGGCCATTCTAACAAGCAGCAACACGCAACTCCAGTGAAGGTAGGTGTGAGATACCATGAGTAAGGGCAGGTGTGTATGGGGTGTAGCTGCCAACCTCGTTGCGGACCCGCTTGGGTGCGTCTATGAATTTACAGAATGAAGGGGTGCTTAGCAGCGCAAACCCACCCTGATAGCCCTCGCTGAATCCAGACCCCCGCCCAACCCAGACCCTCTCGACAAGTTCTTGTCACTCCGCGCATTACAGGACACCAGTGCGACAGGCCTTTGCGATCCTTTCAACCAGGGAGCCGGCTTAGGATTCTTTAGAGACTTGAATGAGCTTCACAAAGCGGGTTTCGGCACCTTTTCTTCTTGAGGTGCTCAACTCTGACCTCTCTGCCTCAGAGATGCCCCCGGCGCAGCACACCTGCTTCATCAAATATTCCGCCAGCATCGTCTCGGAGAGCTTGCGAAGAAGTGGAACCAGCGGGGCCTCCCACGAGCACCAACACTACCAATACGGGGTTGGGGGCGACAGTAGGCACAACTCAGGCATGTGTTTGACACTTGTCATGTCGGAGGAGCTGGGTTTCGGACGCGTCTCCTCAATGTACCATTTGAGAGCACCTGCATGAGCCCCTCGCCGTGTCAAAAGTCTGCTCTAAAAAACCACCTGTACCTGCACCTGGACGCACTGCGATGGATGTTGTGCCTGCAGGTCTCATCGGTCTGAAGTACACGAAACCAGGAAACCCATTTCCTCCTCCCTGGTCTCAAGCAGTTCTTCCAGCGGTGATAAGCTCAGGTCGACACTCCTCGCAAACACGGCAAATATACCTAACTGCTGTGAGGACCCATGGCTCAGCAAGGATGCCTGTGCGGACCCTCACCCTCAAGCACAAAGCCATAGGTCACCAGCAACCGCCTTGGAACAATCCTCTAACACTTCCAGAATGTTAGGCTGAACTGCTCCTATGGTGAAGGAATGCAAGCTGGCACGAGATACTTCGTGGCTTCACGATCCCGCTGCACACCAACAACTGGGGTTCCCCTGAACTTGGCAGGTTCCAATGCACATCCTGGTGCAGGGTAGGATGAAATTCACAAGTTGCCCTCACAGGCAGATGGTCGCGCAAGGGTGCGGGCGCGTTGGGAATGGAGTCATAAGAAATGGTCACCTTGGAGGCTAGTAGCATTTGGCTCACATGCTCCTTTTCCAAAAGATGCAGTAGCAACAGCATGCGCCGTCCTAGCCTCCTCACCAGTCTTCACCTTCCCAGTTGCAAGAAGCCTTGGCGTCATTCGAGTGACGAACGCCCATGGTCCGCAGTCAACATGAGGCAATGGCTTGAGAGAACCATCAGGATCCATTATCCAGCGTGAATTTGGACAAGAACTGTGGTTCAGAAAGTCAAAGAAGGGAACCTCACAGCTCTTTTCCATTGGCTCGACACTCCAGGGTCTGGGAAAGGATGTGGCAAGAGCACGCACCCGAGATGGATGCCAATACACCTCTGAGCGCTCAAGAGGGATATACCGTTGCTTCTTGTGGCCTGCTCCCTCGAAGGCGAATGATAAGGAGGCCACGGTCCGTGAATCCACGGCATACATCGCGCGAGCTGCGCCTGGCTTCAAGCAAATTGCAATAAGAGTCTAATGCGAGTGGCAGAACGCCCAGCAGTTGAGCAGCCAAGGCTGACACGTTCGGAGCTGCAGCTCGTGGCAGCACAGAGCTCAGCGGCTTGCGAGGCGCGCAGCTTGAGCCTCTCATGCGCCAAAGACCTGAAAGCAAAACAGGATCACACCGAAGCCCACCAAGCGGGCACTGCAACGCTTGCGGGGCCGGCACCCTATGCAGCCTGGCAAGTGCTCCATGATCTGCAGGTCATGTGGCTCACCTTGTCTGCTTGTCTCTGGGAAAAAGAACAGCTTGATGCGGACTGAACAGGGTCTGAGAACAACACCCTCAAGTAGAAGCTGAACATATGGCCTTGCCCAATTTAGTTTGGAACTCCCCCAACAAGCTTTCAATATCTCGGGCTGACACCAGAAATGCGAAGCACATCCCAAGCAATCCTGTCTGAAAGACACAGTTTACTGAGCATGCCTCTCAACTGCTACAAGTACCACACATGCATCAGACCATCCTCTTCTACCAAGCGGTGGGCGACTCCAAGCATCCAGTGCGAAGCCTGCAATTAATACAACAGGCCTCTGGTTTGCAAGCTTAGTGCCATGGCATGTCATATGTACACGGGAGCAAAGGCTGTGCGCCGCCTGGTATCTTTGGCCCGTGACTCCTTCTGACAGTATAGCATCTGCTGGAACGGTCAACATCACCTCGTCCGGCCCGAACTGCTTCGCTGCCTGACAACAGTCACAATCGATGTCTGCAGATGGTGCTTGATACGCTTGTGGGAATCATTGCCTGCAAGAGTCTGCCTCTTCCAGGCGAGCAGCAAACATCCAAACCACCTCAGGCCGAGAAGCCCGGGTGCCACAGTACGCTTCAACTACTTGATTCAAAGAAGGCTTGTTCACAGCATGCCCCAGAATTGCTAAAGCTCATCTATGCCATTCTTTGCCAACCTTTCCGGCCAGGTCTAGAGTGCAAGACGCACAGCTTACAGAGCGGCCTCCTCGAATGCCAACACTGGCGCACCTGCCACCATAGAGAGCTTGGACAGCTGCATCACGTTGCACAATGCAGACTCCAGCTATCTTATCCATTTTTCACGGCCCTGCAGCGCATCTAAGCTGAGTGGCCATTCCAAAAATTCCTGAAGTGTCTGGTCCACATGGGGGCAGCGAGACATGCCCAGCAAAGAGGCATCTGCCCATGGCTGCTCAAGGATCCAGTGAGAACAAAGTCTTAGCATTCCCGCTTGCTTGACGATTGATTGAGTCTTCGTCGTGAAGCAGTTGATGTTGCCCATGCATTCTTGTGCCTACGCATCTCCATGGCATGTGCTGGATCTAGGCAAGAAGCTGAAAGCACAAGATGTACGCAGGTCCAATTGGCATGACGCACCGTGACCAGAAGCTGCATTGCCGCATCTGCAGGACAGGCAGAACAAACTATCTTGCCTTTGAATGCCGCTATCTTGACAGCGCGAAAATGGGCATTCTACTCTCGCCCGCAGCCTGTGCCGAAGTCCCCCAGGGGAGCCAGCTTCAAATACAGGCATCCTGGCAGCCTCTTGCTGACCAAAACACAAAGCGTAAGGCGCAAGCATGATGTGAAGTGGAGAGGCTCAATCAGCCGCGCCGTTGAGCACTCTTCCCACGAAAAGCATACAGTGGAGGTACTAGATGCACCGAAAACGTCTCTGCCTGTAAGGCCGCGCAAGCTCGAATGAAGTGGCTGGGGCACTGGGCACTGCACGGACTTGATTGTGTTGACAGTCCGCCTTGGTATAAGGATTGGGAAGATGCGAGAAGTGGAATGTGGGGCGCTGATTGCGCTTGGGCCACACCGCATAGCAATATGAAGTTTGTGGGCTTGAAATGGAGGGTTGCGCATGGAGACTCAGACGGAGCCATTCCGGAATCACGAAGGCCATGCAGATATGGCTTAAGGAAGGAATTGCCTTTGCTGCCTCATTCGAGAGTTTTAAATGCAAGGGCTGCGCGGCTTCACTCAAGGCCATGCAATTTAAGGCCGACCTATATTTTGCAAGGCCGCCACATTTGTGGATGACCGTCCTCAAGCAGCCAATGGCCAACACTCGACCACCAGAAAGGTGATCAGGGAACACTGGCAAAAGGTGGCAGGCTAACGATGGCCCCTTAAGGGCACTTGTCACGGCCTCAGCGTGCTGTAGCTAGCGGGTCTTTGTTTGTTGCCATCTACGCCATGGCTAAGCAAGAGTCAAGCCTGCCTTGAGAATATGCCAATACATGCAAGTTTGTGCAAACCCAGCCTCTTGTGCGGTTGGGCTTTCTGAGAAGCGCCGGGAACTCCACAAGCGGTAGACCCAGCTGGGGAGTCAATCCACTGGAGGAGGGTCTGGACTTCCTCATCATGCAGTCAGCAAAACGCTTCTCTACCCAGTCCCTACAAAAGCCAAGCCGCAGCTGACCCCTTACGCTTTTGCAACTGCAGTGGCAGCAATCAAGCCAGTTGACTGTTTGCTGCCCAAGTTTCTGAATCCAGTTTCCTACGGACTCCATTGCAGATCTCATGCAGCGCGGCTTGGTTCAAAGATTTCAAGGCTTCGTCTGTGCCTTCATAAACCGCACTAAAGGGAATCAAGACGTGTGATCGTCCCCCAGCAGTCAGGGCCAGAGAGAAGTGACACTGCGAGGCATGCCTAAACCAGCTCCCTGACCCCAACTCCAGCAGAGTCCATCCAGAGCCAGTCAATGAAGGTGTAAGTAGGCATTTTGCAGCATCCAGCACTGGCTCAGATGTCTTGGCTGGGAGAGGCTGCGTGGCACAACCCTCTGGCCCCTCGTACATGAACGCGGTCAGGGCAAAGTATTCCTTGTCCATGGGCTGCTGTGGGGAGCCCCGGCCAAGCCACTTGGCAGGTTGCCCACGAGCAGCGTCGCCTGCTTCGCCAGGCTTGTTGGGTTTGGCATCTACAGAGGATGCTCTCGGTGTACCCATCGCCGCAGCTGCAAGTCCTCCGAACTCCACACACAAACCCCTCGCTTGTTCAAAACGCAACCAGCAGCTCAAGGCCTAACTCCAGCGCTCGAGACAAGTCCTTGAAACTGATGCATGATGCGACGAGCAAAGGACTTCGGTCGCCCGCGTGCACTAGCTGGTGGCTCTGCAGGCGGTCGAGGCGTCCCAACTTCGACATGACCGATGTTGAGCTTGCCCTTGGCCTTCTCCTCGCAGGGATGGGCACCCTAGGAACAGTGCTTTTCAAGCTATCACGAAACAGCCCATTCGCCCCACTGCTAATCCAAGGATGTGATCCTGATCAAATCGAAGAACACACACCCAGGGAGGGAACTGCCGCAAGGCCCTTGCCACATCGTCAGCAAGCCAATCGACTACAGACTCCAGGGACGAATCCTCAAAGAGGCGAACGTCACCAGTCACTTTCACAGAATTGCTAGCAAAATGCTGTAAGTGCCACGCCAGTGAATGGAAGTGCCATGTCGTCTTGTGATGCGAGGGCTCGTGGTTTTGCTCGGGGTGCAAGACTTGGATCGAAGTCACATTCTCCTCCCGCGGCGTTGTCTCTTCTAACAACCACTAGGGCCCCACCAGCACCAGCACTACTGCCACTGCCTCTACCACTACCACTACCATGACCACCACCACCACCACCA